GTAGGTTGAGAGTAGTATTGGGTAGTTTAAAGGGTACCAGTAAGTAATATAAGGGTAACATTGTTTAGCTTTGTAGGTATCATTTTCCAGCTTCACGGTCAACACTTATTGGTTTGAGGGATAACCTAAGGCGCATACTATCGTTACCAGGGTGTGGAAGGATGAGGTATTTCGAGTGGTAACATTGATGCTGTCAGGGGTAACATCGGTGAGGTGAGGTGAAATGGGGTTTAACGTCGCGTCCAAGATTATTGCACTTATATAGCGACGTGCATGCACGTGTATGTGTGTGTGTGTGGCTGCTTGTACTAGTCCGGACTGATGTCGATTTATAGTGCTAGCCCACTGAGATCCCATACCGCAGTTTAACATGAATACCCAACTCAGACACAGTATACTGACTCCGAGCCGACCAGTTTTAGCTCCTTAATGCCGAGCGCCAGACAGGGTAACAACAAGTACCACCTTTTAACGTCTTTTCGTATGACGCGGCTGGGGATCGAACCCCGGACCTTCGGCTCTCCGGGCGGACGCTCTACCATTAGACCACGGAGGCGGTCTTGGGTAACATCAGATTGCATGAGGTGTTGGACTTATTGTTGAGTAGCGCGATGTTGGTAACATTGGACCAAATGATGGTAACGGTAGGCTTCGTATGACCAAGAATTATGACAACACTCACTGGTTACAGAAACCAAAACATAGATATAACATAGATATATGTATATACTGAAACATTAATACAAACGGTTTCAAAGAAATATTCATGATATTATTCTTCTCTGGTTTCTATGTCAATAGCTAAAAATATATAAACAATAAATGGACATTCGATTCGATGGTGATGTATTTGGTGTGGGTATCATAGGCGATATTACATGCATCATATCAATCCACAACAGTGAACATGCACATGACGTTTAGATGAACACGGGGGTCGCAATTTCACAGTTCACAGAAATGAGCAGAGCTATGAAGGCATTTTCAAGTGTATTCCTTCTGTTTCGGGCAGTTTACTTCAGGCAAAATATAAGGGTGTTGTATGTGTTGATCATATGACACACTGATCCTACAGACAACAACGAAATGACACTAACGATTGCGATGCGATAATTAAAATAATAGCTAAAGAACTTGTACACATTTAAAATCATCATATTTACTCTGACCCCAAAAATGAATCGATTAAAACTACATTCACTTACAGAAAAACGCATGCAAATTGTATTTTCACAGTGTGTCACCATAGCAACAAAAGATTTCTAAATGTTTGAAACGGTATGAAGATTAAGACATTGTCAAAAATGTTCCTGTGTTTGTAGAATGTGAAATGATATCGGCTGTAGTCTTGATGGATATTAGAATTGATAAACGTTTCCATTGTGCCGCGTCTCCTTGGATTGAATACCGGGTTAATAACGGACAGACCGGTGTCACGGCTTACCGGTGCCTGTAGAGTATTGTCCTGCCGGATAGCGATACACGAAGGTTATCAACAAATGCACGTGTTGATTAAAGTCAAAGGTCACAGTTGCAGGAAACCACTGATTGCACGTGTTGTGAGAGCAGTCCGGATGTGGAAGAGTGTTCTGTGAGAAACTAAGTGTCAGAGTCTGGCATGGGTTGGGGTGGTTGGAGGGCGCGACCCACGGGCTATTGTCGCGGCATAAATCAGGGCAGAGATCGTCAGCGGGCCGGGGTAACAAAGAGGGCCGTTGGGGGTCAGAAAAACGCCGCCCCTGGTTTTGTCTTCTTGGGGGACCACTTAACTTTAATTCTGTGCTCTCTTACACGCACTATTCAACAAGAACATTGTCTGGCCATGGAACTAATTTGCAGTAAACTTTCATTGCAATGTCGCCAACAGTCTGTGTGTTTTTGTCTGATATTGTAAACAAGAGGTGACGCAGTCACTCACCGGTTGGTTACAGGACACCAGAGTTGCTGACTAAATATATGTTTACACACAAACAAATGCCAGGGACGTCTTTGATTGGCATTTAGCCGTTGGCATAACGGGAACATGTGACACTTTATTGGTGACAGCTTAACTAGTTTTTAACTATTTGGTTTTCGACTACCCTTTTCCAGGTAAATTATTTATTCTGGTTATTGTAACGCTGGCTTCCCAATCCATTCCGATCATTACCTGAAGATGGATCTTACCTAATGATCAACGTCCAACTTATCTCTAACATACATGGCACATTGTTATTTTTCCTTACGAACAGGGTTTAAGAAGGCATGTTGAAGATGTTGAGCACTGATGGGTTGTGGGAGAGCGAGGCAGAGCTGGTATTGGCTGAAAGGATGGTGTGGACCAAGGATGTGATGATAGGGGTGAGACGATAGGGTGGAACAAGGTGACAAGGGTGTGAGCTGAAGGATGTGTTATGAGGGTGTGAGCTGAAGGATGTGTTATGAGGGTGTGAGCTGAAGGATGTGTTATGAGGGTGTGAGCTGAAGGATGTGTTATGAGGGTGTGAGCTGAAGGATAGGCTACGAGGGTGTGAGCTGAAGGATGTGTTATGAGGGTATGAGCTGAAGGATGTGTTATGAGGGTGTGAGCTGAAGGATGTGTTATGATGGTGTGAGCTGAAGGATGTGTTATGAGGGTGTGAGCTGAAGGATGTGTTATGAGGGTGTGAGCTGAAGGATAGGCTACGAGGGTGTGAGCTGAAGGATGTGTTATGAGGGTATGAGCTGAAGGATGTGTTATGAGGGTGTGAGCTGAAGGATGTGTTATGATGGTGTGAGCTGAAGGATGTGTTATGAGGGTATGAGCTGTAGGAAGTGTTATAAGGGTGTGAGCTGAAGGATAGGCTACGAGGGTATGAGCTAAAGGATGGGCTACAATGACGTGAGCTGAAGGATAACCTACGAGGATGTGAGCTGAAGGACAGGCTACGAGGGTGTGAGCTGAAGGATAGGCGACGAGGGTGTGAGCTGAAGGATAGGCTACGAGGGTGTGAGCTGAAGGATAGGCTACGAGGGTATGAGCTGAAGGATAGGCTACGAGGGTGTAAGCTGAAGGATAGGCTACGAGGGTGTGAGCTGAAGGATAGGCTACGAGGGTATGAGCTGAAGGATAGGCTACAATGACGTGAGCTGAAGGATAGGCTACAATGACGTGAGCTGAAAGATAGGCTACGAGGGTGTGAGCTGAAGGATAGGCTACGAGGATGAGAGCAGAAGGATAGGCTATGAGGGTGTGAGCTGAAGGATAGGCGACGAGGGTATGAGCTGAAGGATAGGCTACAGTGACGTGAGCTGAAGGACAGGCTATGAGGGTGTGAGCTGAAGGACAGGCTACGAGGGTGTGAGCTGAAGGATAGGCTACGAGGATGAGAGCAGAAGGATATGTTATGAGGGTGTGAGCTGAAGGATAGGCTACGAGGGTGTGAGCTGAAGGATAGGCTACAAGGACGTGAGCTGAAGGATAGGCTACGAGGATGAGAGCAGAAGGATAGGCTATGAGGGTGTGAGCTGAAGGATAGTCTACGAAGGTGTGGGCTGAAGGATAGGCTATGAGAGTGAGAGCTAAAGGATCGGCTACGAGGATGTGAGCTGAAGGATAGGCTACGAGGGTGTAAGCTGAAGGGTAGGCTACAAGGGTGTGAGCTGAAGGATAGGCTACAAGGACGTGAGCTGAAGGATAGGCTACGAGGGTGTGAGCTGAAGGATGTGTTATGAGGGTGTGAGCTGAAGGATAGGCTACAATGATGTGAGCTGAAGGATAGGCTACGAGGGTGTGGGCTGAAGGATAGGCAACCGGGTTGTGAGCTGAAGGCTAGGGTATGAGGATGTGAGCTGAAGGATAAGCTACGAGGGTGTGAGCTGAAGGATAGGCTACAATGATGTGAGCTGAAGGATAGGCTACAATGATGTGAGCTTAAGGATAGGCTACGAGGGTGTGGGCTGAAGGATAGGCTACGAGGGTGTGAGCTGAAGGATAGGCTACGAGGATGTGAGCTGAAGGATGTGTTATGAGGGTGTGAGCTGAAGGATAGGCTACGAGGATGTGAGCTGAAGGATAGGCTACGAGGATGTGAACTGAAGGATAGGCTACGAGGGTGTGGGCTGAAGGATAGGCAACCGGGTTGTGAGCTGAAGGGTATGCGGGCGTGAGCTGAAGAGTAGGCTACGGGGTGTGAGGGTGGAAACTACAGTGGTGTGGTGGGTAGCGGGGTGGGGCGACGTTTGGGCAGAGATATGAGGGTGGAGACTGCAGGGATAGAGTGAGTAAGGGAAAGCACACATGTTTGATGTATGATGTCACCTTGGCGCGGGACGTGGCGATATGCGCGAATATCTCTGATGACTGGGGGCACAGGAATGGCGACAAATGATAAAGTTATTTATCAAATTGCAGAGATTAAACTGCAAAACAGTCTCATAAATTGAATTCAAAAGTTAATAAAACACTTTATATATTCCCCTTGATCCTTTGGCAAACTGTCGTCCTGTTCCCCCAAGCCATTTATCGCGGGTATAAAATCAGCTAAGCTTACCTGAGCGTTGTGGAGAGGAAGGGCTTTGATTGATGGCGTGAGGGCTACCTGCACTGTCGCGAGACCTGCGCGTGTACCTGGGTCACGCGAATCACAGTTTACTTGTAGCTACTTATCAATAACCTTCCAAATAAAAATGCCACATTTCCATCCAGACCTTCTCATGGGAGTCTCAGTGGTCTTTTGTGCTTGCTTAAAACTTACATCCGGAATTTGTTGATTTGACATTGATATGCGTGTTATGCGATGACAGGAGGTCTATTGTCAGCGCAATATATGGTGGAAAGCGAAGACTTCACTTATAGCAGAGTATGTGTTTGTAACACTAAGGACTTCCTTTTATAGACAGATTACTCGCTTGTACGCATCATTTGATAAAGTTGAAAAATGTGGAGTTGCACTTCAATGATAAAGCAGTAAATATACACGTAATATTTGTCAGTCAATAACTGCCACACGCTCACCACACGCTCACCACACGCTCTCCACATGCTCGCAACACGCTCTCCGTACGCTCTTGTTTTGAAGTCCTGCACAATAAAACTCTCACTCGCCCTACACCTTCCTCAGACACACGACTCTCACTCGCCCAACACTTGCCTCCAACTCCCGACTGTCACTCGCCCAACACTTGCCTCCAACTCCCGACTGTCACTCGCCCAACACTTGCCTCCAACTCCCGACTCTCCCAACACTTGCCTCCAACTCCCGACTGTCACCCGCCCAACACTTGCCTCCAACTCCCGACTGTCACTCGCCCAACACTTGCCTTCAACTCCCGACTCTCCCAACACTTGCCTCCAACTCCCGACTGTCACCCGCCCAACACTTGCCTCCAACTCCCGACTGTCACTCGGCCAACACTTGCCTCCAACTCCCGACTCTCCCAACACTTGCCTCCAACTCCCGACTGTCACCCGCCCAACACTTGCCTCCAACTCCCGACTGTCACTCGGCCAACACTTGCCTCCAACTCCCGACTCTCCCAACACTTGCCTCCAACTCCCGACTGTCACCCGCCCAACACTTGCCTCCAACTCCCGACTGTCACTCGCCCAACACTTGCCTCCAACTCCCGACTCTCCCAACACTTGCCTCCAACTCCCGACTGTCACCCGCCCAACACTTGCCTCCAACTCCCGACTCTCCCAACACTTGCCTCCAACTCCCGACTATCACTCGCCCAAAACTTGCCTCCAACTCCCGAATCTCAATCGCCCAACACTTGCCTCCAGCTCCCGACTCTCACTCGCCCAAAACCTGCCCCCAACTCTTACTCGCCCAAAACCTGCAACCAACTCCCGACTCTCACGCGCCCAACACTTGCCTCCAACTCCCGACTCTCACTCGCCCAACACTTGCCTCCAAATCTCCGACTCTCACTCGCCCAACTTTCGCCTCCAAATCCCCGACTCTCACTCGCCCAAAACCTGCCCCCAACTCCCGACTCTCACTCGCCCAACACTTGCCTCCAACTCCCGACTCTCACTCGCCCAACACTTGCCTCCAAATCACCGACTCTCACTCGCCCAACATTCGCCTCCAAATCCCCGACTCTCACTCGCCCAAAACCTGCCCCCAACTCCCGACTCTCACTCGCCCAACACCTGCCTCCAACTCCCGACTCTCACTCGCCCAACACTTGCCTCCAAATCTCCGACTCTCACTCGCCCAAAACCTGCCCCAAACTCCCGACTCTCACTCGCCCAACACTTGCCTCCATCTCCCGACTGTCATTCGCCCAACACTTGCCTCCAAATCCCCGACTCTCACTCACCCAAACTTGCCTCCAAATCCCGGACTCTCACTCGCCCAACACTTGTCTCCAATCCCCGACTCTCACTCGCCCAACACTTGCCTCCAACACCCGACACTGACTCGCCTCAGGCGCCTTTCACTCATCATGCGCTTTCCCCAGTCTCCATACTCACTCGCCCTGCACTCGCCTTCGGTTCCTAAGTCACTCATCATGAGCTCGCCTCAGATCCCTAACACACTCGCCCTGCACACCCCCTGCACACACTGCTATCCCTCACTCGCCCCACACTCTCACCCTACACATCTAACGTGCGGGGGTGATCAAAGTACCACTTCAAAGATCATGTACCGCTTTATAACGTGCTAGAATGACACGACAGAGCATAAACTGACAGAAGTATGTCATCGATTAATATCCTGTACCCGCCCTGCATAGTTTCTGTGTATCGATCAAACATCCGCTTCAACGTCCGTCGCCGCAAAGAGCGTAATCAGCACTCCCAGTTTGTATCTTCCCTTACCTTGTCTTTCTCCTTTCCCCGTCCGAATATACACCCACCTCCCCACATCGTCCCCGTACCTTGTTTTTCTCCTTTCCCCGTCCGAATATACCCCCACCACTTTACATCGTCCCCGTACCTTGTCTTTCTCCTTTCCCCGTCCGAATATACCTCCACCATCTCACACCGTCCCCGTACCTTGTCTTTCTCCTTTCCCCGTCCGAATATACCCCCACCACAGCACCATCTCACATCGTCCCCGTACCTTGTCTTTCTCCTTTCCCCGTCCGAATATACCCCCACCACAGCACCATCTCACACCGTCTCCGTACCCTGTCTTTCTCCTTTCCCCGTCCGAATATACCCCCACCACAGCACCATCTCACACCGTCTCCGTACCCTGTCTTTCTCCTTTCCCCGTCCGAATATACCCCCACCACAGCACCATCTCACACCGTCTCCGTACCCTGTCTTTCTCCTTTCCCCGTCCGAATATACCCCTACCACAGCACCATCTCACACCGTCCCCGTACCTTGTCTTTCTCCTTTCCCCGTCCGAATATACCCCCATCGTATTACCATCCTTCCCTCTCGACCAACTAACGCACGCTCCGAGTAGCCGGCACCCCTTTCACATCCACCCGACCGGGTAGCTCTCCCGACCAGCGCACTCCACAACAGGAGAATGTGTACAGCGAGGCACACGCTTGTCCCCCAAACTCGCACCCAGGTGCGCTTACACAGAGTAATGAGATATTTAAGTTAGTTTAAAGAGGCTTTTAAACAACCTTCTTAAATCATTCCTTTCAGCAAAGAAGAGCGCTATTAAATCACTGCTCGGAGATGTAATTAAAGCTGGTGACAGCACCCACTTCCCTGGCCGCGTAATTCTCGCCACCGCTCCCCGACCCACGTCCCGGGGGTGACACCCGCTTCCCCATCTCCTCACCCCTCTACAACACACGCTCTGCTACCCCGAAACTGTAGTACAGCTATCGTTGTCATATTCTTCGTCTAATCCGATGATTACCTTGGCGCAATCAATTCTCTTGTAATTAATGGTCTGATTTAGATCCTTATGTATGAAGCCCGAGTGCCAGTTCCAATTGTATCAATGGTCGCTGTCGTCATATTCCGTCACCGTACTCAGCCGCTTCACTGAGCGTGTGTAGCGAGAAGTAATGGGGTGGTTTGGACGCTGATGGCCACTAAATGGCGAGTGATTGTAGTGTGTGAGTGGGTGGATGGGTAAAAACAGAGTCAGAGATTGAGGGAGGTAGTGAGTGTTTGGGTGTGTGAGTGAGTTAGAGGGGGTAGCAAGTGGGTAGGTGGGCTTTTGAGTGAATGGGTGGGTGGATGGGCGGATGGGTGGATGGGTGAGGGAGGGACGTAGTAAGTGGGTGGGTTTTTGAGTGAGTGAGTGAGATACAGCAAGAGAGATACAGTGAGTGAGTGAGTGAGTGAGTGAGTGAGTGAGTGAACGAGAGAGACAGTACGACAGACAACCACATTCTTCCCCACAACTATCCACACGTAGAATGACAGGCCGCCGCGTCGCTTAAAACGTTTAGTGTAGCGAAACTTGCATCTAACTGTTGTTTATGGTCATGTTATTGCCGTCTAGCATCTCGTCACGTAGGCGTAGATCTACATACGCCGTGCATCTAATCCCACTTGTATGTCCTGGGAATGTAAATACATGGAGAGCATGCTAACTGTGACTTACACTACCTGTCACCAGGACGACGTCTCTTGGTGGGTCTCATCCTTATATATATATAGAATTCCAATACACCTCCTCTCCGACTACCAGAAGTAGAATCAATTATCAATTATTATTTTGAATGAATGGAGTGATACATTGATTGATCACGGTTTGGAATCTAATTATCACAGATATGCAAATTTTATCCTTTCTTACAGATTTATAAAATGCTGCAAAATTATTTCTCCAAAATTCAAACATATACTTCCCATACTACTCTCTTCCCAACTACCCTTCCAGACTCCCCTGACTCTGACTCTACACACAGCTCCCTTCCACGCCCCTGACTCTACACCCACCTCCCTTCCAGGCCCCTGACTCTACACCCAGCTCCCTTCCAGGCCCCTGACTCAACACCCCCCTCCCTTCCAGGACCCTGACTCTACACACAGCTCCCTTCCACGCCCCTGAGTCTACACCCACCTCCCTTCCACGCCCCTGACTCTACACCCAGCTCCCTTCCAGGCCCCTGACTCTACACCCAGCTCCCTTCCAGGCCCCTGACTCAACACCCAGCTCCCTTCCAGGCCCCTGACTCTACACCCACCTCCCTTCCAGGCCCCTGACTCTACACCCACCTCCCTTCCAGGCCCCTGACTCAACACCCAGCTCCCTTCCAGGCCCCTGACTCTACACACAGCTCCCTTCCAGGCCCCTGACTCTACACCCACCTCCCTTCCAGGCCCCTGACTCAACACCCACCTCCCTTCCAGGCCCCTGACTCAACACCCACCTCCTTCCAGGCCCCTGACTCAACACCCACCTCCCTTCCAGGCCCCAGACTCTACACCCACCTCCCTTCGAGACCCCAGACTCTACACACAGCTCTCTTCCAGGCCCCTGACTCTACACCCACCTCCCAGTACAGGCCCCTGACTCTACACCCACCTCCCAGTACAGGCCCCTGAATCTACACCCACCTCCCAGTACAGGCCCCTGACTCAACACCCACCTCCAAGTACAGGCCCCTGACTCTACACCCACCTCCCAGTACAGGCCCCTGACTCAACACCCACCTCCCAGTACAGGCCCCTGACTCTACACCCACCTCCCAGTACAGGCCCCTGACTCAACACCCACCTCCCAGTACAGGCTCCTGAATCTCCCCAGTTCTCCCACTAGGCCCAGCTCCCTCCCAAGTTCTCCACTACCCCAGCTCCCCGGAGAGCTCTCCCCTATCCCAGCTCCCTCCCGGAGCCTGCCTTGAGAAGACAACTAGATGCCCCATCCTACGCCACCATTGTCTGTCGTGAACTCGGCTAACCCGTCACCCTATACCGCATTCGTCTTGGACTACTTCACAACAAAGCGGCACGCGTCTCCCGAGTGGGGGGAGCAGGGGGAGGGGTAAACCTTTTACTACTCTTCTTATAGACGTGACCTACTCGAGCGAGACGGCCAAATTCGCCCGCCCTTCTCGCCGTGGCCAGTCGACCGTGGCCAGTGAAATGTGAAGTCGCTGAGGCACGGGGGATATAACACACACAACTACTATAAAGAGAATCTGTCGAGTAAGAAAGCATGCGCGAGTTTCTTTGAAATACGCTTTAATATTTTCCTATTTGGCTTCAGAATTTGTCTCCATGATGCAGGCCGAATGTTTGTCAGAATTTCGTCGAGAAATTTCATTACCGATATTCTATACCGCATTTACCACCCTCCTTGGTGGCAGATGGAGGTATATATGTGTCTATAATATGAGAGGTACTTGAGGTCGTTCAACGATGATGCAATCCTGTCTCCTCTTTAAAGGGGTTTAATTAAACGAGACTAGTTTAGAAATAAGTAATATGAAATAAGCTTTCAATCGATGTACTGTAAAAATAGTATTTCCCGAAAATCGGTATATATTTACTAAATATCCAATGTAATGGCGCCACATTATCTTCGAATGGATGAACACACGTCGACGTTCAATATCTGCCCAGGAATGCTAATGTTCATCACAAGCAGAATTTCTGCAATTAGTTCACACGAACAAAACAATTCCACCCAATTCTTGTACCGGCCCTATAGTCTCCGTCCGACCCTTACACGATTTAACCCTCAAGCCACAGTTCCATTCTCTGCTTTCCGACCTCTCCACGATAACCCGCATGCCCAGGAATACTCAAGACCCCTTTAAAAAACCCGTCCCTTCACACATGAGCCCCCAGTCCAGAGTAGGGGTCGGGGTTGGCCTAGCTCTATGTTGCCAGCCGGGCCACTTCTCTATAGATGGGTAATAACCAAGCTACAGCCACGGCGCCTTGTCTCACCCCAGTCCGACACAAAGATATATATAAGTACACACTGCTGTCGGCGACACAGTGCGCCCCTTTCCCATCACGTTGCCCTTGGTCTCTCTACACCCCAAAAATATCTTCTCTAGCCCCAAATATATCCGAACGTAGTAAAACCCTTTCTTTCCTTGTCAGAACGGTTGTGGAATACGGTGATTTAATGTTGTATTCATATCGGCAATAAAATCGGGAGGGCAACGCCGGGCGACTAGCGTGACTATTGTGACGCCAAGTGGGGACAAGGAATCAACAGTAAGCGCTACCACGTTGAAGCAGAGTGTTTATAAATAGCACCTATTCCCCTTCATTGCATAGACAAACCCACTGTCGTAAACATTTTACATTCTTTCTCTACCATGAAATCAGAATTCAAGAAAGAAAGAACTCGGTCAAGTATCGGCCCCTGGTGACTCCCTGCTCGCAAACGATACAAAATCCCAGTCTGAAATATTTATCGATTTTCTTTTCATAATTGATATTTTATGAAGAGTAGAATCTTGCAACATATGCGTCGTGAAGAACATATAAAATTCAGACGAAGTAATATGAATACACCAAAGCATATTGAAATTGCAAACATTTTATTCGTTGCAAAAATAAAGCACATTTCGTAGAAATATAGCTTGTATCGATGGTAAAATTGTACAAAATGCTATTGAGATTATCACACGGTAGCAGTTCGCTAGTGCTCCTTTCAAAACATACTCACAAACAGAGCATAACAAGAGAGTATAATTTACAAAATATATGTACATCTTTATACAATATAAAGCACTCATTGCAAAATACGCTAATGTGAACACTTGGGGAAAATATAGATCTTTTGTAGAAACAGTATCTTCAAAATAGAAAACAATTTGTAGAAAAATACCGCATGATATGACTATTGTTTGAATCCATGGCAGTTGTGACGTCATCAACTGTCGCGTGCTGGCACGAGTAGGTCGCGAGACACTGCAGCGACAGTCTCGACCTTGTCCACTGTCTTCTATATGCGCCACCGTGAATTTATTGAACGGGTGGGTCGCACATACCCGAGTTCTCTCCACAACACAACCTCCCGACACCCCTGGTCACATTAGGGGGGCAGGGAAAATAAGGCACGGTAGTTAGTTGAACGGAGAGTTCAGCAGTCCTTGCAGGTACTAGTATACTGTTTCTCTGGAACGTCATCGTTCTTGTCTTCTCGTCCTACCAGTACTGTGGGTGACCGTTACCCACGGTGGGGGTCCCGTGGGTGGGGATCAGCTCGTCACCATGGAGATGGGACATGTAGTCCTCGCATGACATTTCCATAACTTCCTTGCATACTTCAGTTACCTCTCTCGTGGACTTTTTGAATCGAGTTCACCTCCTAAAGAAAAAAACAAGCAAAAGGGTTAGATTGAATGAAACCGAATTAACAATACGCCGTATTTCGCAGCGAACACAGAAAGCGCGCGACTTTCGCCATGATAAATACGGGCCCTGGTTATATTTGGTATCTTTTCATATAACTGTTTTCTTTAACAGAAGTAGTGAATCGCGTAAGCATAACGAGCCCGGTATCCGCCAGGTCCCTAGGCCTGCCTTTGTGGGGCTGGGAGCCAGCAGATGGGGCCAGCACTCCGACAGTGTGTCGCTATTTGCACTGTCCGCCTCCCAGTTCAATGCCAGTGCCTCGCGCATCCTAGCCAAAATACTTCATTCATACCCATTCAAATCACACTCTTAACTATCTACCAAATAGGGCAGTTATGAAAAGGCCGAGATACAAAAGCCGCTTCAGCCATTTATTTCTTGTATTTGCCGACTCGTTTCGGTACACACCTTAAATATTATCGCACAGGCGAACAGGCAGAAATAACAAATCAACGCCGTCGTTTGCGATCAGTACAGTTAATCGACATTTCTATTTAAATAACTCAATACAAATTCTTCCCTTTTGAATATAACAAAGATTCGTGCACTCGCATAATCGGGTGTTAAAATAGAAAATGAATGCGATATTGAGCATAGAAATAGGTTTAAATAGATATTACGACGCAGAATGCAGCGGGGTTATATCATTGATGCGATGACGTACCTGTAAGGTTGAGCTGAACCCCGACTTCTGACGACTTGTATAACTCTGTGATCCAGTGCGAGAAATCCACTAGATCTGTCTCTTCCAGGGAGCTGAGAGAGTCATACGATGTATCAGAACAACTGCTCGGGGACGGGGAGTCAGTCATCGGGGTAGGGATCTGAGACACAAGGTTAGGCACCGTCATATGGGTCTGGTCACTGGCCTGGGGAGCGTACACAGGGGAGGGGGACGTGTCCATGGAGTCCGGCACACGTTGGGGGGAGGATTCCCGACTATCTGTCTGAAGAACCTCCTGAAGCTGTCGGATATAGTCCACTGCCGATCGCAGAGTTTCCACCTTGCTCATCTTCTTGTTTTTCCTTCCGCTTGGAACATGCTCTCTGAGAGTCTCAAAACCAAGGTTGACAAGCTTCACTCTGTTCCTTTCCCTCTCGTTGCGGCGGGCCACGGCAGCCGGTTGAGCTTTGGGTAAGTTATAGCCGAGTTTGCTAAAGTCTATTCTTCTCTTACACCTCAGCACCTCGGGTTCATCATCTGACTTGATCTTCTTAGGTCGCAAAGCCTGGACCTGTTGGGCGACGGTTGTCGCCTTCAGCAGGATGCAAGGTCCGGTAACAATAACTTTGTTCAGATTGGACACAGGGATGGCCTGCATTGGCATACAGCTAACTGTTGTCATCTTGGGTTATGTGTGTCACAACCAACAGTAAAGTGCGCCAATAGTTAATAATCGTGCGAGTCTCGTGTCCGGAGTGCGTGAAGCACGGTATACCTGGCTCGTCAGTTTGGAGGGATCCCTCAGCTCTCACACACCTATACAGGCCGCTACTATCGAATGACTATTGTCAATGAACGAAGGAATTTATAACCCGGTGACTAGACCGTGGCCACGCCCCGCTTGCCTAGCCACGCACCTGACAAGGTGTCAATCATTTGGGCGCTCGCGCGCCCAGCGCGTGCCCTCAGTGGAAGAGAAATACCGATCGAGCCCCGGAGAACCTTATAAGGCCGACAGCTTAATAGGTTGAAAAAGATAAACTTGCATATGAAATATTCTGCAACTTAAAAGGTAGTGACATTGAATAATTCTTCGTTTTGGCTAAATGTGCTTTTTACAAGCAAAATCTACGTGTGACCCTTTGTACAGGTATTGGGAAGCGCTACGCACTGGACTGTGACCTAAACTGTCGTTCTTGGCGAGCTCTGAGTTTAGCTTTACATTCACTGTGCTTTGTTAATGTACGGAAGACAACAACAGATTTTATTATTAAACTGTTAATACATTGAATCAGACATTAGCAACCAAGTATAAGTAATCGTATTAAATATACCTTACGGGAAGTTTCAAGTCGTCATCATTGTAGATAGACCTATTTCACGTTGACGAAAATAAAAGTGAAGATTAGTCTGTTTGGGTGCTAGAACGCGATAAACTGATATTATGCGTTTTGTGGGACATTATCACAACGTAAGAAACTAGCGCTAGTCAAATAGCCCCAAGCAAACTTCAAATGGATGATCTGTAGGACTGGTGAAATTTGAATTTTTTCCGACATATACACTGACAGGCAAAACAAAGTGTACACTTGGAGTAGATTTCACCAAAACATTACAAACGTTATCAAAACTTTACTAAGCTAAACAGTCACCAATACATACACCTACAAATATAGGTCCAAAATGCAACTATGATACACGTATGAAATACATCACCATCGAATACTTGTAACAATTTCATGTTTGTTTCATTATTAGCCATTATCAAACATGGTGTATACTTTTGCCCGGTAGTGTATATAATAGAAAAGTTACTAAACTGAGTTTCTACTTCTGAAATTCCGTGTATTGGATATTCCAATTTTAGCTTTTAATAAAAGATCTGAAACAGCTCTCTTTGGCTCCATTAGTTTGGAGTGTAGCGGAATGACGGACACCTGCGTCCCTCTAACCATTCCCCTGCGCTGGGCGATTGTTCCCGCCCTGATGACTGACCGCCAAGCTGACATCCCCTCACCGCTTACCCGCCCTCCTCCCGCCAAGACCCTCTCTCCGGCCGAGTTTATGGTTATAATGTGGTCATTGAAACGACCCGTATTAGACATCAGGCAAGACAAAGCATCCCCATTCCTTTACATTCTTGTTATTAATTTTACAGCTTTGTTTAACTGCAGTTTGTCATAGGGTGAGAGTTATGTATGGACAGGCTGATATTTCTGAACAGGTGGCACGAATTCAATTTGTAAACACTATCTGACTGCTATTGTTGATGTCCTGTTAGCGTTTCCAGCATCCTATAACGGTTATAAGCTTAAACAACACTCGCCCGAATATCTTAGGATAACATCTATTAAAACCAGAAATATAATTTTTAAAACTTGAAATTAAAATTCGATGTCACGGATGGACCAGGTTCGGGTAATGAGCGTTCCTGTACGTGTGATTGTATTCACACCTATTTTGTTTGTATTGGAACTTTAATTATATCATCTATATTTATCGTGCAGTTAAAAAGTGTACCCTAATTATAGTGAAACAGTGTCTTAGATTTACACGTGACAATTACTTCTAGACCATCCACGGAAAATAGCCCGCTATAATGTATACTACTCAAAACATGTTAAGGTACAACTGTGCGGGGAAGGATGTGGGTTGCAATATCCACCATCTATGACAGATTAACTAAAGTCAAGTAAAAAATGTTTTTTTCTTCAACTTCTTTTGATAGTTTAATAACAACCTATCGGAACGTACGTTCCAAGGTGTTTAGAAAATGACAAACAACCTCCACTGTCACAGCCATCTGATAATTCCTGACAGCTAAATATGCCATAGGTTTGTAGTATTAATATTTAAAAAACCCAACTAGTTTAAGTCTTAATTCGATATTTGGTATTTGAAAGTGTGTTTTTGCTATCAATTAACAACTTCTGACTTCATTAGAATGTTGCTGTTTGTATGCTGTTGATGCATAATAAATAGCCAGTATTTGTCGCAAATTACCAAGAAGCCATTAACTGTGTAAACAGATCAACAATAGATGCAGTCCTCACTCTGACGGGAGGCGACATTCAACCTCATTATATCACGTCGTTTCTCCAACGTCGGACATTGTCCATATTTGCTGTGACGTAATAGCCACGCGCTCTGACATCATCCGGGCTTTGTAGGAACATGAAGTGTGAAATCCCCTTAGTGATCAAAGAAGTGATTATCACCTGTTTTCCAAACCAGACCGTATTTACTTTATTTACCTACTCCGATAATGCAGCCTCCAGCAGAGTGCGGACGGCCTCTGATTGATGCGCCAATTTCCAGCCTTCTAACCGCCATGTTGGATTACGTGTTGCCGGGGGTGTAAGTGTGAATATATACCAGACACGCGACCCCTGAGCCGGAGGACATTGAAGAACGCGATCCCGACAACGTGATACCGATCTCCGTTGAAGAACAGTATGATTGTTATTACACTCTATTGTGCCACGACGGAAAATCAGATTTTACAAACTATTTGCGATCTGTTTTCCAATCAAACCATCGCCTCAGGTGTTTCGACTGGAATATCCGAACCATGTGTTAGAGTTCGTTTATGACCCTAAATTTCCTTAATGCGCTCCGAAATTTCAAATCAATTAAAAAGGTTTGTCTCAGGGGAGCAATTTTAATGTAATTGGGGGGTTTGGTCGGGTTTCACTCTGTGTCGCCATTGTCTTCAAAATCTGCAATCTGGCCAGAAGACGATTGGAACATCTTGCCGCTAGTTTCCTGAGTGTGTAATCACCGCATTGAAGTACAGATTTCTCCACTTCAAAGTTGAATGAGCCCCCCTCCCATCCCTTCCAATCCACCCCTTGCCATCTGTCGACGCCCCCGTCATTCCCATACAGAATCGGGATAACGGAGCCAAAACGTTAAAACACCTATTCAGTTTAAAACCGTCTCGAAAAGAAATACTTCATATTGGTGGCGTCACAATATATCTTCTTCGTCGATGAATAATATATCATAGGATCAAACACCCCCCGACACCCCTATTCACCCCCTCATACCCGGTTTCCCCCCATCTAATGGCGCGTGTGGACCCGACCTGTTCGCGTGACCCATGTTTGTAGAAACAAGGGCCATTCCTCAGATGTGAAGGACATGAAAGTCCTATCTGCTGTGTCGATATTGAAGTAAACATCTCCCTCTGTCGGGGTAAACCGGGGGTTACTGGGGAGTACGGGTTAGTATCAAGTCGCCCGGTCCCCCTAGAACGTGACACGGGGGATGCCAGCTATAAACACGAGGGGGTGAGGCCCATGCACCGGCTCAGGGGATCAGAGGACACAGGAGCCGCAATGCCAAACACACACTCGCGCGGCAGGGAGATAGGACATTAACACGAATGAAGCGCACAAAGGAATTATCAAGATGGATGTTGGACATTGTTTATCGCGACCTTTCATACTTTCAGGTCAGCGCGTAGCAATAAAATAAATAGATTGTTCCGGTATGCATATCTGACGCTGCGACAGCACTGGTGACACGACATCAGCTTCATCACCATAAGCACCACTACTCGCACAACCACACCCGAAATAAACACCCGACCTTGAAGCACCTTACGATGTCGGCATCATCAACCACAATGACTGAGTGATATAATTCAGGGTGTCTCGGTATTAGGGTGTCTCGACTGATCGAATTTCGTGCATTGTTATGGTTGTTGTTGTTTGTTTGTTAGTTGATTAACGTTGCACTCAGCAATATTCCAACCATATGACGATGGTCTGTAAATAATCGAGTCTGGACCACACAATCTAGTGATTCATATCATGAGCATCGATCAACGCAATTGGGATCGATGACATGCATCAAGCAAGTCAGCGAGCCTGACCACCCGATCCCGTTTGTCGCATGGTAATGGAATGGCAATACACGATGAAATACTATTCCTAGACATCGATACTGTTACGCTACGAATATTATTGATTGGAGTTATTAAATGGACAAAATACTGATACTTAAAGGCGATGATACTCCATGGTTATGAGTGATCTCTGTTAACTGCAGGGTCCATTGAACGATTGTACAAGTTCAAATAGGGAATTGCATTCATCACTTTTGTCAAACAACGCCTCTAGAAAGTATTACCCTTTGTGATTACGCGGTCTGGTAGCCTAGTGGTGAAAGCCGAAGACCCAGGTTCGATTACCGACATGGGTACAATGTGTGAAGCCCATTTCTGGTGCCCCCGCCGCGATATTGCTGGAATATTGCTAAAAGCGGCGTAAAACCATACTTTAGTGACGTTATGTAGCTGAAGTATCCGTGTACCGGTATTAACGTTACTTTCGCTTTATAACAATTTCCTACCAAGATGTTGATGCTTGATAACGGTACCAGCCAGCCTCTGTACCGAAACGTCTCATTGAAGGAATACCGGCACTAGTCCGGACAAGTACAAGCAGCCACACACGTCCATACACGTCGCTAAATAAATGTAATAATCTGGTATCCGACATAAAACCCAATTTCACATCACCTTATATATAGCGTATGTATTTCTTGGTAATCGAACTCTTAGCAATGTAAGGGGCGGCGGGGTAGCCTAGTGGTTAAAACGTTCGCTCGTCACGCCGAAGACCCGGGTTCGATCGCCAGATAGGTACAATGTGTGAAGCCCATTTCTGGTGTCCCCCCTGTGATATTGTTGGAATATTGCTAACAGCAGCGTAAAACCATAATCACTGATCCACTCACTTAGTAATGTAAGGTTTCAGGTTTGTTAACTGGAGTACCTTTCGAAGGATACGAAAGTTACGGTATGCCATAAACCTATACACGGCATAGTCGTACTTTTTAAAGCTCACGTTTAAGTAAAATCCAGGTCTCAACTAACGTGCTGTGTTCTTTTCTAAGTGGGGGCACGGGTGGCCCAGTCGTCCAAGGCGCCGCGATTCGCGTCCCTTGGGCACGCCAGAAACCTATGATTGTGGGTTCGAATTCCGGTTCGACCCGATTATGTTTCAAGGTTTGTCAGAACCATACCCGTACTCGTTGGTTTCACCGAAGTGGTAAACGTCTGAGACCTGCATCACTTCGGGCTTTCCTTCCACATTAAGCTGACACGCCGTGATATAACTGGAATACTGTTAAAAGCGGCGTTAAACCCAACTCACTCACTCATTCACTCTTGTCTAAGGTTAGCGTCAGTACGCTTTATTATCGGATAGACAATGTCATCAACGGGGATATCTAGGACCTCACAATTAAAACAAGTATCGCGTCTGGAGATTGCAAAAGGGCTCCTCTACCATGACGTGATGTGATGCCTGTTGTCTGTAATTATTCATTTCGTTGTTGTAAGATGGACATATAATTGCAGACTGCCAACAGTGTCTTTTAACAATAAAAAGGAAACATTTTCAGTCGAGATACACCTACGGAGTAGCCAGTTGACCCAAATAGATCCGATGAAGCTTGTTGCAGGGAGGTTTTAAGCTAAAGGTTTCTGAAACCAGCGACAATGTGAATTAAATTTATAAAGGTATTTCCCGAAAGCAATGGGCCATAACCTGTAAGCTTTCAACCCATCAGGTTCAAACACACATCAAAGACCCGACACACGTGTTGTAGTGTTGCCTTCCACTTGACTGAATCAGCAATGCTTTAAATCACGGAGTTCTGGTAATGACATAAACACAGTTTATAATCAGTTTACACTGTTGGTCGGTATCGTTGTCCCAACATTCCCTGTGATCTACTTTCAGTTGGCTCCTGGGTTCTCGGAGACAACTGAGCTACCGAAGCGAGAACGTCAAGTATCGGACAGTATTGTCCAGTAAATATGTGTATGTGGTCATTACGACATATACGTGGTCAAGTTTAGCCCGAGGCTGTATACTAGCCATGCACACTATAATGTCCGTGTCGCATTTACTACCAAAGTGTAACGCATGATGACATCGCGTGCAGCCAGTCTCCTAAACTCTCGTAAACCACTCGCTTTATGACTTTTTAAGTAAGCTATTCTCATGTGTACAGGATATATACAGCATCATTGACAAAGCTGGGGCATGCAACCCTAATTAACAAACCCCTTCAATCAGATTAACAAGTTTATCTATTATATACTCATTACAAAAGTGTCACCTTGGGTGTTGGGTGTCATTTGAACATTTGCCAACACGCGTTAATAGATCTGAGTATGTTGACAATGTGATTAAGAGTTGAAAAATATAATTATGCCTTTTAGTAACTGTAAACATAGATAACTGCTGTTAAAAACAATGCAAACTAGAAGACTGCACGTGCAATACATGACAAGTAACAGTCAATGTGTATAAAATGGTACTTTCCAAATTCAACCGAACTACACTCTTTGACGTTGAAAATACGACGTTTTTTTAAATAATTTTATCGCTTATTATCTGCGTGACCCCCAAACAAGATATCTTTAATTAAGAGATAACAAAACCACTGCTTATGTAACACAGATTCAAAATAATAGTACTATTTTCCGATCAATAATTGATATATCAAACGAAGAGAGGCCCCCTTGCTAATAGCTTCGTTGATTATACCGCCGCTTCACCAAATACCACGCGTCGTGCTCATCGTGTGTAAGATCGCTGCTATCTAGTTTGTATCCCCGTCCCTGTAAGTAGAAGGTACATGTATTATGGTCAGTTTGGATAATTCATATACATACATGCGTTGATTGTCTTGTTTGTTTACAGGCCGACGTCGCGTGGCAGGAGACAACAACGTAATGCAGCTTGTACGAGTGGCGGGTTCTACCGGTAGGGCAGGACATGCTTACCCTTTTCACAAACACCTGGACCCACTTGCACAAAGCGATCTTAGCGCTAAAATGATCGTAACTCCCATACTTTAACATAGGCTTACAATAGTCTTAGCGCTAAGATCGCTTTGTGCATGTGGGCCCAGGTGTCATCACTGATTTTCAGTGATCCATTCATATAATTTTCACCGCTATTTTTTCTTGTATTTTTTTTTCGGCGGATAATCGAGACGGGTTATTCTCTGGCGTTTTATGTTTAAAAATATTAATTTTTTTAAACCAATGGTATTTTAAAAGGTGTATATTATTTGTGTCTTTCTCTAAATCTCATCAATTTAAACATGTCGTATGATCCAGTCACTTCCTTGACAATACTCGTGAACTAAACGACCCGTGAAGATTCCGGGGTAGAATAGGTCTTCAGCAACCCATACTTACCGTAAAAGGCGACTTTGCTTGTCGTAAAAGGCGACTAACGGGATCGGGTGGTCAGGCTTGCTGACTTGGTTGATGCATGTCATCGATTCCAATTGCGTGGATCGATGCTCATGATGTCAATCACTGGATTGTCTGGTCCAGACTCGATTATTTTACAGGCCGCCGTCATATAGCTGGAATATTGCTGAGTGCGGCGTTAAAGAACAAACAAACGTGAACTAAACTATGGGACAAAAGAAAATACACCTCTCTGTTGATTTTATATGTTTTATATTCAATTGAAAATATCTTATGTAAGCGATATTATATATCCCCAAACATGAGCTGTACTGACGTTTAGTATACAAAGAATACTTCCATATGGTTTTATCATTTTACATGGTTAAAACTTTTAAAATTTTAAAAAATACATTTCGCATAATACATACCTGTTGATGGGAATATTAGACATATTATCTTTGAAAGTAAATAAATAATTTCCGCATAATTTTACAATATTTCATATATGGTAGGATTCACGTGGTTGCAAATTCATTTTTCACCCATTTTTCTCTATTGAACCTATTTATTTTTACACAAAATTACCCAGCCACAGATTAGCTTTTATAAACTGTTTCAGGGATAAGTGATGGTTAAATAGGCATAATCAAATTTAACAACTGTTCGTTCAAATTTCAGTTACGTAAAGAACAAACTTGATACACTTTCTTTTGCCCCTTTTCTACATTACGAATAATCTAGTTACTTAGCGACGTATTTTAGTATTTAGTCTAAAGTATTTTAGTTGCTACTTTTGTTTACTTTTGCTAGTTTATCTTAGTTTAGCAAGATGTGTCGGCAATATTAGTGTACGGGGCTGTCAGTCATATCATTGAATGGCGAGGAGTCACGTACGACAGACCCAATTCACACACTGGACTAGTCAAGTGCTAAATACAAGCGTGGGATTGAAAGGAATCTGCAAAATGACGAACACAACTTATTAAGTGTGTGTGTGTGTGTGGGGGGGGGGGGGGGGGGGGGGGGCTGGCAACTCGCGGCTAGAATGTTTTGTTGTTTGTTTGTTTGTTTATTAACGTTGCACTCAGTAATATTCCATATTCCAACCATCGAGTCTGGACCACCCAATTCCGTTACTTGCCTCTCAAGACAAGCATGGGTTGCTGAAAACCAACCCTAACCCGGATCTTCACGGGGACAAGATCAACGAACATATTAACGGTTGGTATCAATGAAATGGAACGATATGTTTCGTTTCTGTTAGTCATCATTTTCACAGTTCAACTTGCACGATCTCCCGGCGGACGCAGCTATTCTAAGATTGTTACCTACACGACAAATTGCCTAGTAACAAGAAACAGGTTAGTTGATAAGTGTGTCAACTGATTTTCACAGTTTCCAACAGCTCATTGGTAAATGTATGTCAGCTTGTCAGCAGTGTTAATGATAAGTATGTTGTCACGCTGATCCCAAGGGGGACGCCAACGCTAGACTGTGCAACTGCTATACGAGTTGAATGTACCGTATTATAATCATTACTTAGTAGTTAATAAGCGTTGGTTTAATGTCTGTAGACATCTAATTCCACTTCCAGAGTCGCGTGCATGTACCCCAATCACCGTATTTGTCACGCCATGATAAACATACAACTGAAAACAACCAGGGATATACATTATATTTCAAATGTGATAATGATATCTGTGATTAGCCTTCGTAATTATATTGCGCATTTTCGGTAAACATATTCTTATTTTCTCTTTTTGTTAAGCCGAAGTCAGTGTTCCACCTTATCATAGCGACTTGTAAATAATGGAGTGTGACAAACCAGTGACTTAGTATCTTTGGACAATTTTGTTTGTTGGAATTGACAGCGGATGGCTGGTGGTTGCTACTTGCATGTGTTGGAAATAGTGAGTGAGTGAGTGAGTGAGTATGGTTTTACGCCGCTTCTAGCAATATTCCAGCAATATCACGGCGGGGGGACACCAGAAATGGGCTTCACACATTGTACCCATGTCGGGAATCGAACCCGGGTCTTCTGCGTGACGAGCGAATGCTTTAACCACTAGGCTACCCGACCGCCCTGTTGGAAAGATCAAAATATAGGAGTGAGAGTGTGTACTGACCCCGAACCGACCAGTCCCTGTTTTAGCCCCTTAATGCCGAGCACCAGACAGGGTAACAACAAGTACCATCTGTTTACGTTTTTTGGTTATACGCGCCCAGGGATCGAACCGCCGATCATCCCCTCTCCGGGCGGACGCTCTACCATTAGACCAGGGAGGCGGTCGAATGCTGAGCATCATTTCGTTTAAAGTTCAGTTTATATCTAATTATACTGAACAACAAAAGTTCCTGTGACATTGAATAAGATTTAATGCAAAGTTATGTTTTTTTACCAAATCTGAAACAATTTCGGTTTGCAATAGATAAAAGACTCCTGTAAGTGTTCAAATGGTTTAATTTGCCATACTGACTTCAGAAAATGCGTGATTACATAAAAAACATGAACATGCCAAAATGTCCATTTACAAATCAATAGCGTGTGTGTCCATCTCTGGTTGCGATGCAAGCAACATATCTTCGTCTCATGGAATGGACCAGGCCTCGAATCCTGATCAAGTCGAACAATAAGAGACCGGTCGTTGTCATATTGAAAGGTAATGCCTGGGCCATGACGATGCAAAAACGGTAGAACAACAGGGCCGATGATCTCGTTGCGGTAGCGATGTCCATTGAGAATTCCCTCTGCCACTATCAAACGGGTCCTCTGTCTTGCTGTAACGTTCACCTCGACGTCGGTACACTCGAATCCGTCCATCGCTGTGGCTGAGGTGAAAACGAGACCCGTCAGTGAATAGAACTTGTCCCCACTGCATGACCGCCCAGCGTAGACGCTGTCTGCACCACTGTAGAAGTGCTTGATCGTGGTTTCCTGTCAAAATGGGACGTCTGGCGGGTCTTCTGGCGACAATCCCTGCACATCAGAGGCGACGACGTACGGTTTGTGAAGATATTCGTCGAAGGCCAGGGATGCTTCTTGCAGTCACTGTTGCTGGCTGGAATCAATTTCGTAGGTGTGTTGTTCGAATCAAGTTGTCTTGCCGATTATTGGTTACGCGTTGCCTGCGACTCCGAGGATGGTCTCTGACTGCATTCGTTTGTTGCCAACGTTGCCATAAACACCAAATGGTGTTTCTGTGGACGTTAAATTGTCTTGCAACATCACGTTGACACGATCCTGCTTCAAGCATACCAATGGCTCGCAGACGCTCATTTTCGGACAAGCGTGGCATTTTGTAATGTTGAATAATTGCGTAAGTTTGTTGTTTTTCTGAGTGGTTGTTGACTTGTGTACTTGATTTAGCTAAAATTTTAACATTAAAGTACCATTTGCACATTTCTTATAATTATATTTAGGAAATACATATTTGGGGAAATTAGGTTTTAATAAATGTGTGGTTAATTACGTGGTAGCGTTTCAATCATAAAGTTAACCTCAGAAGATTGCAGAATTAGTTGAGCCCAACTTTCATTGTGAAGTTTTATGGAGTTTATTTAACAACCAACAACTGTCTGTCTGTTACCCTATTCCCGCACTTGGTAGGTTTCTTAACTGTAGACCATGTTTGTTCCATGGAGTGAGTGAGTGAGTGAGTGTGGTTTTACGCCGCTTTTAGCAATATTGCAACAGTATCACGGCGGGGGTCACCGGAAATGGGCTTCAAACATTGTACCAAATAGGAATCGAACCCGGGTTTTCGGCGTGTCGAGCGAACGCTATAACCACTAGGCTACCCCACCGCTCTATTTCTTGGACATCACATACCCCTTACAGAAGCATATCCGTCAGTGCTTTTAACATTTGTAATCTGTGTAATGCACTGGTTTAACCAAATGTTTTATTATGGCATTTTAGCTGAAGATAAATAATTAAAAAGGACAAAAGAATATTTCCATTATCATAAGAAATCTTTGCTAAAAGCAAATTATATTGTACGATTCTGACTATATCACGCGCATGTATTTTGATTCACGGTGAAATGGTGATGATATCAGGTGTTGTAAACTACATGACGAATATCAAACTGACTAATACAAACTGAACTAGGTAAAACTAGGTGTCAACTGATTTCACAGTTTTCAACAACACTTTGATAAATATATGTCAGTGTGTCAGCAGTGTTAATGATAAGTATGTTGTCACGCTGATCCCAAGGGGGACGCCCACGCTAGACTGTACAACTGCTATACGAGTTGAATGTACAGTATTATAATCATTACTATGTAGTTAATGAGCGTTGGTTTAATGTCTGTAGACATCTAATTCCACTTCCAGAGTCGCGTGCATGTACCCCCATCACCGTATTTGTCACGCCATGATATACAAACTCCATACAACAACCAGGGATATACATTGTATTTCAAATGTGATAATGATATCTGTGATTAGCCTTCGTAATTATATTGCGCATTTTCGGTAAACATATTCTTATTTTCTCTTTTTGTTAAGCCGAAGTCAGTGTTCCACCTTATCATAGCGACTTGTAAATAATGGAG